CGCGGAAGTAAACAACTACTACGTATCTGCTACAGTTTTTAAATATTTATGGAACGTAGTTTGTAGAACGATTTGTATCACACGACCTACCACGTGTGCGTGTGCTATATGCGTGAGTAGCTTCATGTTTATCCGCACCGTACGATGAATAGCAGAAAATTATGCAGTTTCGGATTTCTATAAACACGATTTACAATTTTAGAATTCGACGTCAGCGACGTGGGATGAAGCCCTTCGATATGTGGACACGTGGTACCAGAAAAAAATTGCAACAGCAAAGCTCTTCGGAATTTCATAAAAATTTTTCTAAGAATATACACCGAAAGATAACAAAACAAACGATAATCACACCATTGTTAGCATAATGCTACAAAGAGAACAAGTTTCGTCGTGATTCTAAAAGCATTGTCAAGCCATCGAATACACGAGTATCTTTTATGACGTATGCTCAAACCGGGGAAATAAAATCGATCCACGTACTTTTTAAACAAATCTCGTATAAACCACACATTTATATGTATTATGCTGTCACATTTCTCCAACTAAAAAATTAAAATGATTCCTAGAAATTTATTTTAATAATTTTTTATTGCTCTCGCATTTATTTTATCAATATTTTAATTCTTATATTTAAAAAATTAATTCCTAAAATGTATTTACATTACAATTTCCAATAAATTTTTTTTTGTATAACATATCCCCTAGATAGAACTGTAAGAAATTGAAGTTTCTAAATGGAAAACATATTTTTATTTATGAGTAATGTTCCGATTATAGAAAAAGCATTTCAGTGCTTTATTTATTCAAATAATGCAGTCAAATGGAAAATACGTAAGAGCTATTTTTGTCTTTTCTCCTTAAACGACATTCGAGGAAATCTGCCCGCATTAAAACACTTTACGTTACGTAAATGTACTTAGGGCGCTTATATATACGCACTAATTGCCTTTCTGATTGAAGATTAAAGTGGAAACTCCGCGATACGATTTTCTCAATTTTCCCTCTTTTCTAGCAAAGAGAACGCCCGCCCCGAAGAAAACCCGGCCGTTGCCGACGCGTTTTCAAGATTGCCCCGGCGTTCCTCGCACCTCTCGCGCTGTACTACACCACGCACCCTTTTTGCTCTCCCGCTGTTTGTTATTATTGCTCTCGTTAAAGCGGGTCCGCGCGACACGCATACACGTATGCATATACACGCGCATGCGAGGCGTGCAAGGCGATTAACTTAATAGCGGCGCGATAGCACGAGCTCGCCCGCTATTTAAAGCGGCCCCCGGAACACGATCGCATAAATCGCAAGTTTTCAACCGATAAAATGCACGCGCCGCCCTCCCATGCACGATCCTATCCTCTCCCCCTTCCCGCCCCCTCTTCTCATAAATTAAACGGAGCTAATGCGCCACGACCGATACGAAATTGGACGGCTTTAATGCAGATCTACGGCCCTCGCGCGATTCCGAGATTAACGCCGATCGTTTCACGATGTTCATTTCAGCGGATCCTTTAAGTCGTTTAACGACTGACCCTTCGTGTATATCTATAACTCCGATTCACCCTGAAGACGACGTATAACGCGCAAAAAAATCCTCCCGCAAAAGCAGAGATTTTTTTAAAAATAATTTTCTGTTGAGAGAGAGAGAGAGAGAGAGAGAGAGAGAGACGCGGGATATCCTTGGAAATATTGTCCCAAAATAAATTCGAAGGATAGTGATTGCTCGCAAAAAATGCGAAAAATATGTATAGCCTTCGCGATAATGCTTCCAATCGAAGTGCATGCGCATTCCAATGTTGTGCGGCCTCGATTTAAATTCGATACTAATGATTGCTAGCCGACGTTGGATAAACAAGTAGATGAAGTATCTTTCAAAATCTTCAAGGAAATTATCTTCTTAAACTTTCATTTTCCTTAACTTTCGAAATCAATTGAATAATGCCGCATGAATAACGCAGCGTATTTTTTATGTTTTCGCAAAATTAAATAA